GGGTGTGTAAACTTTTTATATCCACTGTTAAATACAGTCATATTCAACATAGTGTACAAAACTGACTAGGTAACCATCTTGACCCAGCATTGTGTGCGAAAGGGGGTGTGTAAATTTTTATATCCACTGTAAATTATAGTAGTATTTTCTAATTGTGATGATATTCAAATATAGTAGTTTAAATTAGCATATTCTAATTCAATGTAAATATTTTCTATTTTGGAGATGCTGTCCTTGTTGGGGATGGAATGGAAAATTTAATAAACTATAAATAAATAAAGCAATAAATAACAAAGCATGACAAAGAGGTGCGGAACTCTATTACTGGAACATTATTTTATCCCCACTATTTTATGTCTGCAGCTGAAAGGAGTCGCAGCGCAACAATATGTCGAGTACTACCGGTATTCCACTCGGATCCATGGTTATTTAGGTAGTGTGTCTGTTACAAATACAGACAAATGCAACAACTTTACCATTGCACCATCACAACAGCTTTATAATTCCCATCCCCTCTCTACTATGCGCATTTCTCATAGCGGAACTCTTCTTCTCAGCATGCGTGTTCCGATCGGAACGCTTAAAGTGAAGAACTTCACCAGAGAGGTGGCTTTCCTAGCGAGGTTGCGCGTTCTGGTTTTGTGTGAACTGCGGGTGCAGATGCTCCTTTCTACGTCTGCTGCTTGCCCTCAACCCCTACTTCCCTTGGTTCCGTCCGGAAAAAGAAGACTCCCCACCATTCTGAGTGCTCTCTTAGCCGCTTACTCCCGAGTCAGGTGGCACTCCCGGAGAAAATCCCCCTTCCCCGCAACTCTACTCCCCGTCCTGGGAAAGGGCGTCTTCCACCGCCGGACGTGGTATTTACACTTGGATCTTGCATTTTTGGATGTTCCAGTGATTTGGCAAATATAGTTCCTTCGCCTCGCCCTTTTTCCTTACCGTTCTTGATTGCAGCTCTTGACGTCTTTTAACTTTTAACAAGCCATACTTACCGATTACCAGTTTTTAAAATTATCACATGGTTATTTTAAAACGGTTTTATGGCCAACTGGAATGTGTACGGGCAACTCTTCTTGAAATCAGTTAAATCGCAGATTACTTGCCAAAAGTAGTAAAGCTTCCAAAGTTGCAGAGGGGAGAGAGATTCAAAAGCAGTAACTTTAAAAGGAATCAGTTTCTTTCTAACCTGAAATGTACGCACTGTTCTTTATGCTTATCAGTCAACTTAAACTGACATGTCAAAGTAGGATACATACTATTGCTGTTAAATCAGGATTTTATAACCCACTTCAGCTCAGGCATCTATCTCCTTCCCTCTCCCATAATTTATTTTGGATGAAGATTTTTTGTCCTTGAAGGCTAGTGAGTTTTTGTAAAAGTTGTCCCTGCCATCATGTACATTAGTATACTGTAAAGAATCTAGTGGTAGATCTTCGGTAGATCTAGTGGAACTCAGATGATTTTTAGGTTCAGTCCTTAAGTCAAAATGCAATGTACACTGTGTTGTATTTATTCATTATGGTATAGATTTCTAGTCACATGTTTGAAAGGTAATAATTATTTTTATCAGTGTCCTAGCTAGGAAAACAGAAATTTAAAGAAATGGATGATGAACCAGAAAGAACAAAACGGTGGGAAGGAGGTTATGAAAGAACATGGTAAGCTTGCTTTTTCAAATCTTATTTTGTTTTCATTTTTAAGAATTACAATCTTCTGTTGAATCTTTATTATAATGTTGTTTTTTCATTTGTAGGGAGATTCTCAAAGAAGATGAGTCTGGATCATTGAAAGCTTCTATTGAGGATATTCTTTACAAGGCAAAAAGAAAACGGTATGTGATGAGGCACGCATTGTAGGCGTGCAGTTCAGTAAACAGTTGAGTGCAAGCAATACCAGAGATATTTCAGGATAAAATGCGTTGAAAAAAATTCAGCTTAAATTCAAATTCAGATTCATTCTACTGAGATTTAGAGTATTTTGTCCATCTCTTGTACAAGGGTATAAATATCAGACATCTATTTTAACCTACAGGCCTCTGTCACAATGCTTCTAAAGGTCAGTAATAAGCTAGTCCCTGTCCTCAAGCTTACAATCTAAAAGACAAAACATAAAAGGGAAAGGGATGGTGGGGTAGTTGGCTCAGGACTTGAATTTTTGGTCCTGAAGTCCTTACAATGATCAGCTAGTATGGTATACATATTAATGGTATCTGACTATGTATGTCCTTTTATGCCTGCTTTCTTGGGAGTAATTTTTATTGAACTCAATGGAATTGACTTCTGTGTGAATATACATAACACATAATGAATATTACTAAGTATTATCTCTGGAGAAGTATTGTGGCACAATTTGTGTACGGTGGTGCCTCGCTTAACGATGTTAATTGGTTAAAAAAAACATCACTATGGGAAAACATCGCTAACCAAAACACCATTTCCCATAGGAATGCATTGAAAACCAGTTAATCTGTTCCATTGGGAACGGATTGCCGTCCTTATGCGAAAATCCCCATAGGAAACATCGCTAAGCGATACAATGTTTCCCCCATTGGAATGCATTGAAGCCTATTCAATGTATTCCAATGGTTTTGCGATGTCCGTTTTTGCAATTTTAAGTGGGTCTTAAAAGGTTCAAAAATTGTTTTAAATGCTTGGGATCGTTAGTGCACCTTCTGAAACCTTTGCAAACTTAATTTGCTGTCAAACCTACAGTTCAATGCATTCCAATGGGGGAGAAAAAAATTCACCAAAAATTAACGAAGACTCGGATCAAAGCCAAATTCAGTTTGCAAAGGTTTTAGAAAGTGCACTAACGATCCCAAGCATTTAAAACAGTTTTCAAACATTTTAAGACACTTTAAAAATAGCTTTTGACAGGTCCGTTTTCGCTATTTGTAAAGTGTCTTAAAAGGTTCAAAAACGAAAACGGACATTGTTAAGCGAAACACGGGGACCTAAACTGCCATCGTTAAGCAAAGCAAGGTCCCGAAATTGCTAAGCGAAATTTCCCCATAGGGAACATCGTTAAACGATGCGGAAAATTCCTCAAAAAAACCCATCGCTAAGCGAATACATCGTTAAACGAGGCAATCGCTAAGTGAGGCACCACTGTACTTCCTTTTACTACACTTAAACAATTTGCATTGGTTTCTCTTTTTAGAATTTCAAGGTGGTATGAATCTATTAAATCACAAATTCGGCAATAAAATAGCGGCAAAAGCCCTTCGTTCTTAAAAGCATGCATGAATTAAAATAAGAAAAATTGTATATTGGTATTACAGTCTGCCTGTAACATTTAGCAAAGCTTGAAAACAGTGAATTAACATTAACAGTAGATTTGTTGCTTTCCCCCATCAAACAAGAGATAAAACACTGCTTTATACTATTCTTTAAATATGACCCTTTAAAAGTAACACAGTTTCTGTGCATTAAAGTAGTTAACGGTTGCTATATGTGTCTGTCTGCTCTCTGCTTCCCCCCCAAAAAGATCTTAGCACTTCAGATGTTTTTGTACAGTTCGTAGAAGCCCTGGCTAGCACAGCCAATGGGCAGAACGTCTGGAAGGAATCCCACTGTTGGGAAAAAATTAGTCACTGTGACGTGTATTAATGAGAGACTGAACTTTCAGGCAAAGCTTCTGTAGTGTTCTGCTAAGAAAGTGTGTTTGGAAGTACAGTAGTCAAATGAATTATTGGCTTTGTATAGAATTGTTGGATGTACATGGCTGTCTCTTTGGGTGGAAGGATGAGATTCTGTATCAGGCATCCTTTCTCAATTTAATAGTCTTCATGTTGGAAGCACCAGTCCCAGTGAAAGTATATGAGATTTGTAGACCAGCTAGAAAGGAAGGCCAGATTGGTGGAAACAGTTCCAGGAGCTGACAAAAACAGCTCTTTGAGAGGGAGCAAATAAGACACCTGTTACTAGGGAGTTGGTGGCGACAACATATATACTGTTCTGTATAAATTGTGTAAATCCTGCTATTTACTTTGATGAACAATGGCCATAACAAATTAATAATTCTAATTGAACTGATTAAACATTTTCATGTGTAAACTAACACTGAGAAACTAATTTTCAGACCTAATGTTCCATGTTTTGAGAGTTAGGCGTGAACATAATTATTTTTTATTTTGCAGAATTTTTGAGCATCATGGACAAGTTCGGCTTGGGATGGTAGGGTTTATTTTCCTTGTTGGCTCTAAAACTTATTCTGCTGTGGTTGAAACTTCTTATATTGAATTATGAAAATATATATTTCAAAAATATAAATGATTCAAATGTTTACTGTGGGCATAGTCAGACACATCTGTTCATCTGATTGTCAGTTTGCTTTTAGCCAGTTGATGGTGCACGAGGTTGAATCATCCATTCGATACATTTGGATTGCATTGACATCCAATTTGGATAGTTTGTGAGCTTCTTGCAGAAAGGTTAAAAAGGAGTTCTTCAAATTATTTTCTTTTCATTATTTTTCTTTCTTTTTTCTTTCGCTATGATAAAGAAACTTGAAACTTCATGACAAATGATCACCCAGTTAAATTCTCTGGGGTCATCTGAATTAACCCTATGTGGAACATAGTTACTGTTTTTTTCTTGTAATATATTAGTGAACAGAAAGAATTGCTTTTGAAAACAGAAACATCTGCTTCCTTTCTTATTTTTGGGGAAGAAATCGTGTGGTTGTCTCTGTGACCTTTAAGCTGATGAATGAGAATCTGTTTTGGGATGTTACATTAAATGTCCCAGTCAAGAATTGGCATAAAATGGGCTGATGTTTTCCCATTATTATTATATAGGCTGTGTGCAAGTTCCCATTCGAGACAAACACCTTAACATTGTGCATGCTGAATTAAATGTAGGTTGCACTGATTTCAGTGGGATGTATTCCCAAGCAAGTGTGCCTAAGTCTGCAACTTGTAGTGCCAGATTTATTTTTTGTAACTATGGAAGGAAGAATGATAGTAAAAGAGAATGAACAACAACCCACTGTTCCTAAAGATTTATGTAGATTTTTCCTTAAATTTTAATGCATGAGTCATAAGTCATTATCCAATGTGTCACATTAATTGAAATATGTAATCTTATTTTATTAGGATAATAATATGAATATTACAATTTTTAATTTCCTAAGTTTTTTGTCCATTTAAAAATCCTTATGTAGATGCGTCACTTATATGTAGTGATTGATGGATCAAGAACAATGGAAGACCAAGACTTGAAACCTAACAGATTAACTTGTACTTTAAAGGTAATAATTTTTGAAAACATTGTTTTTATTTCTCCATTATACTTCCAAATAGCTGTCGTGGATAGTATGTCAGGTGCGCATTAAACAGACTTGGATGCAATGTTTTGCTGGGTTATGAAGCTCACTGGATGACCATGGGCCAGTGACCACTTCTTCGCCTAATGTACCTTGCAGCGCTGTTCTCAGGAAAGAACACAGTGTACACTAGCTTTAGCATCTTGGAAGAAGGTAGTGATAAAAATAGTATTTTTTAAAAAATCATCTCTCTGTGTGTCCCTTTTGTGAAAGCAGAAATAATTGTGGTTGCTACTTTTATTTGGAAGTTGTATTATTGCACATTTCAGTCTTTTGATATCTGTCCAACTGCATTGCTTCAGTTAAACAAAATCTAAGCAGGTTTACTCAGCAGAAGTCATTTGGACGTAATCAATAGAAAACGTGTTTGGGATTTAGCCTTACAGAGCAATCCAGAAGTCAGTTTCTGCCTGCCTGTCCTTCCATCCTTCCAGCATCACACTTCTACCCACCATTGCTCCCTAGACAATTTACTATGAATTAAAATAACCACAAACAGATTAAAGATGTTTGAAACAAATGAAAAACACTAAAAAATATCCAGTGAAGTTCAGTGAGACTGATAAATCAACTTTTGCAGAGAAACAAGCTGATCACATACAGTACTGTAGAAGCCTAACACTTCCTACCTGTACTGAGAATTAGACCTATATTGTAAGCTCCCCAAATAACAGTGCTAATAATGGATTTTTTTAAAAATAATATATTTTAGACAACAGTGGTTAAGCTTTTAAAAATCTTTGGAAAATAGTTGTATATGTAGCTGGGAATGTTGGCTATAAATCTGTGGTTTATGCAGCAAAATCTGACTTGACAATTGGATACTGATTCTGTTTGTCTTTCTATAGTTACTAGAATATTTTGTTGAAGAATATTTTGACCAAAATCCCATTAGTCAGGTATGTATACTATGTTGGAAACAAAGTCCCATGTGGAAAAGGATGAATTATAAAATGTTTAAATGTACTGTAAAGTGTTTCTTAAAATAGTAACCTTTAGGAACTGGAGGCTTTAAAAAAAATACACCATGTAAATATGGATGCTAGTGTAATGGTGGGTTGAAAAAAAGGTTTGAAAACCAAAATACAAATGGAAACAAATGGCAAAATCCTGTGGTGTAATTTTGTGTGTTGTGACCGAGATTGGGTCCTGGAAACATTTAATTTGAAGTCGTTAAAAGCTTCCTGTCCTCTTTCTTTTGTGTTCCAAGGCTCCCTAGGTCTCTCTTTTGCCCTGGGGAAGGCTTGGGGAGCCTCAGGACATGGTGATGGGGAAGCCTTTAATAGTGAAAAATTGTCACCAGTGGTTCCAGGCCTGATGGTGACAACCCAGTGGTGGCTTTTAATTGTTAAAGGCTTTCTCACAGCCATATCCTGAGGTTCCCAAAGGCTTCATCAGGGCAAAGAGGAATCCTAGGGAGCCTTGGACTCTGAAAGAAGGGGAATAGAAAGGTTTATATTACTTTTAATTAATAGTAAAAAAAATCGCTGGTGGTGGCAGTCATGGCCTCTAGCTCCCTTACTACACAGCTGTGAATGTGCGCTTTATGCTAACCCAATAGAATATGGGCAGAATCCAGTGGTGTGCTTCTGATGGATCCTGCAGCTTCCATCAGAACTGACATTTCCTCTTACATAAAGCCCTCCTAAAACCTGAGAGGAAGCATTCAGCTGGAATTGAGTATGAAAGCACACCACCGACCGGATCATGGTCTGTATAAATGTGCAGGTCTGTGTTGGACTTGCAAAATGTCTTCACCGAAGGAAAAAGTATAGCAATGCACCTTGGTGCTTTGATTTTCTTTCCTCTTCCCTGCCCTTCCCAGGCTCCTGACCTCACCAGATAACACTTTCAAGATAGAAAGAAAAAAGCAGTCTAAAAGGCCAGAAAATACCTTTTCAAAAAAAGAGAAGGTGACCTTGAGGATTCTGAAATTTATGACATTAAACTCTATGCATCTGCAGTATGATTACAATGTAAATAAATCCCTGAGTTAATTATCCAGACTATAGGAAATCTTAAAAACCTTTGCCATAAATTTCTTTTTTCTTTTTAGTTTTGTCTTCAGCTTTAGCTTTTGTGGGGTGAAGTTATAAGAAAAGAGAAATAATAGTGTTTTTTGTCTTGTAAGATGGACTAGAACTTGTCTAGTTCTGTCATAGTTGCTTCTCACTATTTTTTCTAGTGTTACATACGGGGTGAAGTTATAAGAAAAGAGAAATAATTGTGTTTTTTGTCTTGCAAGATGGACTAGAATGTGTCTAGTTCTGTCACAGTTGCTTCTCACTATTTTTTCTAGTGTTGCATACTGGCTGAAATCCAGTAGTATATTGCAACTAGAGTAGGCCCATTGATGAGTCAACTCCTCTGTAAGCTCTATTAATTCATTGGGCCTACTGTAGTTGTGAGTTACTACTGGATTTCAGCCAGTGAATAACGTGTGCGATGTGAACAGCAACACTGCACAACCCTTAAGCTTAATAGTTCCTGTTGGCAATTTTAAGTCACCTCCCCATCCAAAAAAGGCTTTTGTGGTGCAGGAAATAAGTGCGTCCACTCAAGGGACAAAGTCCACTGGCCCTAGAATACTGTCCTTTGTTGCCGCTTCTCTACATCTGCACATGTAAGCTGGATCCAGATGTTGTGTAGCTTCATTGTCCTGTGAACCCTGTCAACAGCAGTCATCTTTCTTGCAGATTGGCATTATTGTGACTAAGGGTAAAAGAGCTGAAAAACTGACTGAGCTTTCAGGTAGGCAAACTGTACGGACCAGCTTTTCTACAACTTTTCTTTCCTCTGCTCATTGTTTCTCGGGCAGATAGTATACCATTGCCCCAGTGTGTACTTTCAGATGTCACTAAGAAGATATTTCAGGTTTATAATTAGCCGTTAGGGAACCTGAAGTCTACGCTGAAAACTCATTGTGGACCAGTTAAACAGCTCATTTTCTTTAGGTTGGAGCTCAGGTTTATAATTAGCCGTTAGGGAACCACAGCAGCTTTAGGGATAAATGTCCACTTAACTTCAGACAGTGCTGAAATTAAACATTACCTGAAGTCTACACTGGAAACTCATTGTGGCCCAGTTAAACAGCTCATTTTCTTTAGGTTGGAGCTCTGTCTCTCTCTCTCTCTCTCTGTGTGTGTGTGTGGGGGGGGGTTCTTCACATTTGCACTAGAACCACCGGTGCATACTGATTGGCTGACACTTGTGACATTGCATGTCCAATTCTCCCAGAGTGCATTTTCACCTTTTGAAACACCTTTTTATTGTCATTTAAATAAAACCGACACACAACTTTTAATTGCATAAACAAGCAAGGGGCACTGTTAAAAAAAACCGGTCAGCTTGCCTAAAATGTGTGGAAAAGGAAAAGTGGTGATAATGGATGGCTCCGTTTTCTAGTATGTGCAACTGTTTGCTGCATTATGGTGATGGCAGGGAAACCAGGGTTACAGCACAAGAGGAAACAGTGTAGCTACGGGTGGTTTTTAATGCTGCTTTTGCAAGCAGTATTACCAAGCTAAGGAAGCAATGAGGATTATTTTATTTATGTATTTAATTTATAAGCCCCATTTCCCCTGATAAGGGGACCCAAGGTGGCTGACAATATCAAAATAATAGAATTAAAAGCATAAGTTGAGCATTAAAAATGATGAAATGATACAGTAATTAAAATACAAATGAATAATTAAAAGCAGTTAATTGAATAATTAAAAGTAATTAAAATCTGTTTACACAGATTGTGAGTGATGTCAGGCATTAGACAAAGTGAAACTGCGCTGGATTTAGATGTATTATTGTGTTGGATAAATAAAACTATGTGGAAAATATTTCTCTGGAGTTTTCATTGGTGTTTTAACTGTGTTTGTAGAAAAGTGTTCTCAGAACCTGGTTTCTGGGATTCCTGGGTGCCATAATGCCATTGTTATGCAGTTCAGAGCTTGGAAAAGTTACTTTTTTGGAATATTGTTCCCACAATCCCCCAGTCAGCATGACTAGCAGTAGATTCTGGGAACTGTAGGCTCCCCCTTCCCAAAATCTTTCCAAGTGGCAGTGCAATGCCATGGTTTGGTGGCACATGAACATAAATCAGGCTCATGTGCTTTTTTTCTCTGTTTGCTAGTCAGTAAAGAAGCGTGTTTTACATTAAGATGGGGTATTTTTTTTCAGTGGAAGAGGTAGTGGCTCTATGGCTTGGAAACGGGGATGAGCACCGCCCCCTAGAGTCGAACACGACTGGACAAAAATTGTCAAGGGGAACCTTTACCTTTACCTTTTTATGCAGTTCAGAGCTTGGAAAAGTTACTTTTTTCGAATATTGTTCCCACAGTCCCCCACTCAGCATGACTAGCAGTAGATTCTGGGAGCTGTAGGCTCCCCCTTCCCAAAATCTTTCCAAGTGGCAGTGCAATGCCATGGTTTGGTGGCACATGAACATAAATCAGGCTCATGTGCTTTTTTTCTGTTTGCTAGTCAGTAAAGAAGCATGTTTTACATTAAGATGGGGTATTTTTTCAGTGGAAGAGGTAGATTCTTTTAACTTCTCAGAAGTGTTCTGACTGATCTAATGATCCTTGGTGAATTTTGTCTCAAAGGAAATCCAAGGAAACACACAGCTGCTCTGAAAAAGGCGGTAGATATGACTTGCCTAGGAGAGCCTTCTCTATATAATGCCTTAAATTTGGCCACACAGACCTTGAAGTAAGTATATAGTATCCTCTTCTTTTTGACTGCAGAAGAAAGAGTTTATTGTAATTGTAATCACTCTCGGGAAATACAAGAGCATAGTAGTGTTGTTTCTCTACAAAATATTACTTTTGAACAGCAGTATATAATTTCAGGAGGCATCTCTCCAGCACTCTGGTTCCTTCCCACATGGCTAAGTTTAGCCACAAATCATCATTTGTGACTGCATCTGGACGGGGCATTCTGTAACTTATTCACAAACCCCAAAGGAAGCTGTAATTTGTTCCTAGTGGGTTGTTTATTTTGGTTATACTGTAATTTAAAGATGCTAGAATATCTCAAAATGGGCTACAGAGTTATATTGGCTGCTAACTTGTACTCCCTGACATTGCAGAATGCTCAATGACCATGTGATTGGTTCCTTTTGGCTTTTAGCAACTTTCCTTGATCTGTCCAACGAAATGCTGAACACAAATGTATGTGTGCTCTGTTCTTACACACAGTCTCTCCTTATATAGCTAATACTTGCACTGCAACTTTATCTGTATGTATCAGATATGTATTTCACAAAAGAAAGAATGACGCTTAGCTGAACCATAACTCATCTCATTGCAGTTCATGTGTAAAGTCAAGTTTGTGTATCTTGTTTATTTACAAACATTGAGTGTCTCTCGTGAAATGGAATAGTCTCCTGCCCAAAATTTACCTGCCCCCTGCACTGGGAACTTTCAAGAGACTACTAAAAACATGGTTTTTTCGGACAGGTCTTTCCATACTTTATACAGTGATGCTTTTAAAAATTACATCTTCAAACCCTTCGCCATGCCTTTCTATTACTTTAAGCATTTTACTTGTTGTATTTTGTTTTAAATTTGACATTTGATTATTCGCTCTGTATTGTTTATGATGTTGTGGAATTTGTAAACTGCCCAGAGTGGCCTTGGCAGCCAGATGGTCAGTATAAAAACTAACCAGACAGACAAACAAACAAACAAATTTAATGTTTGTTTTTGTTTGTTTGTTTGTTTACCAGCATTAAAAATAGTTTACCTTCTACAGGCACATGCCAGGACACACAAGCCGAGAGGTTTTAGTAATATTCAGCAGCCTGACAACTTGTGATCCTTCCAATATATATGACTTGATTAAGGTAGAGGAAAGTTTATTTTTAGTTCTTATTGATTGACTGATTTTAAACTATTTGTGTACTATTTGGTAAATTCAAACAGTTTATAAATATAATATAAAACTAGGCAATAAAAATAAGTGATTTTGCAAGCAAAACAACGAAATGTCTGAAATAGTATCAAAATATTCTATTTGTTCTTGTTCCTTTACACGGGTGGGTGGCCACTACTATATATGGCTATTTCTCTGGTAGACTTCTGTCAGAACATTGTTGCACCCATTCTGAATGAATGATGAACTTGCTTGATATTTGAGATAAGCCAAAGAAAAGTGTGTAATTGAAATGAATTCTGGAAGTGTTGTACCTCCTATAGTTTTCCATGCATTTTTTTCTGTCTCTTTTTTCCATGCAAAGTGTTTAAAGACACAGAAGATCAGAGTGTCTGTTATTGGCCTCTCTGCTGAAGTTCGAGTTTGTACTGTACTTGCTCGTGAAACTGGTGGTATGTATGTATGTATATACAAAGAAATAGCTTTAAAATACATTGCTCCTTACACATTATATGATTCTATCATGTTGCTAAATTATACTACTATTTTAATTAATAAAATGTATACCCTGCCCTTCATCCTGGAACAAGTGTGTGTTATAAAACGAACAAAATACACACTGACCAGAAAAGTTAACCATCCTATTGTCTTGTTTAATGCATACATCCACCTATCAAATCAAAGCCCTTTCCAAAGAGGATGTTTTATTTATTTATTTATTTATTTAACTTATATGCCGCCCACTCTACCCAAAGGTCTCTGGGCGGCTTGCAACAATTAAAATTCAATTAAAATACAATAAAAGATAAAATGATTAAAATACAATTAAAATTGCCATCAGGACCCACAATTGATGTTATTTCAATTAAAAGCCTTCTGGAACAGGAAGGTTTTGACCTGGTGCCAAAATGTCATCAACGTCAGCGCGAGACGAATCTCCGTCGGGAGGGCATTCCATAGTCTGGGGGCAGCTGTTGAAAAGACCCTTTGTCTACAAACCATCCTTCTTACCTCCTTGAGGGATGGCTCTTTCAAAAGGGCCCCCTGGCTAGATCTTAACTGCTGGATAGGCTCATATGGAAGGAGGCGGTCCTTCAGGTATCCAGGGCCCAAGCCGTTTATGTCTCACTGAAAGCTCTCCAATGTTGCCTCCAGTGGCTGCCTGGTGTTGGTCCCGTTATAAATCCTGGAAGCCAGGAATTAATTACGTAATATAATCAAGGACTCTCGCCAGCAGATTACGGTATTTGGGCAGGAGGATACATGGCTTGCAAATCTGCAGGAGCAGGGCTTTCTCTCAACTGCAGCTGTTACACTGATATATTATCAGTTAGCTTTACAAGTAGGTCTTTTGTATTAGATAATTACAAAAAACCCTCATCCCTGAGGATTTATACATACATCATAGGCAACAGGTGAGAGTCTATTTATAAGCATTCTTACATTTTTAACTTATTTCCTTGTGTTGCAGGAACGTATCATGTCATTTTAGATGAAAGCCATTTCAAAGAGCTCCTTGTGCACCATGTAAGTCCACCACCAGCTAGTTCAGGTTCTGAAAGTTCCCTTATTCGGATGGGTAAGCATTCTTCTTTTACCTTCGTATTTTGATATCAAGCAAAATTTCTTAAATGTATAAAGCTTTGTTCATTTCATGAGCTGCAGGGCATGTAATGATAAACTATATTTATTTTTAAGTGGATGGGCCCCATTGAGCCCCCCCTTCTTTTCATAGGGCACAAATAAAAGAGATCATGAGCTCACTTTAACTTTTGTCTGTACCTGAGTTGTGGTGGCGCTGTGGGCTAAACCGCAGAAGCCTGTGCTGCAGGGTCAGAAGATCCGGCAGTCGTAAGATCGAATCCATGCAACGGAATGAGCACTTCCCTTATTCGGATGGGTAAGCATTCTTCTTTTACCTTCATATTTTGATCTCAAGCAAAATTTCTTAAATGTATAAAGCTTTGTTCATTTCATGAGCTGCAGGGCATGTAATGATAAACTATATTTTTAAGTGGATGGGCCCCACTGAGCCCCCCTTTCTTTTCATAGGGCACAAATACAAGAGATCATAAGCTCACTTTAACTTTTGTCTGTACCTGAGTTGTGCTTTATCAAATAGTTTGTTGAAAGAAACCAGCTTCCTAAGCCATGGTTTGAACTTTGCTTGTTGCAACAAAGTATAGTTAAAAAATAACCATGATTTATCAGATTCAGATGATGCAGAAAACTGCTGTTGATCTGAAATGATGCCAGAATTTCAGAACTTGATAGTTGTCATTGGGGGGAGTTGCAGATAGTGCAAGCCTGAGTTTTGTGGCACACGTTTTTGTAAGTCTTAAGCCTCTTAAGTATTACATCAGAAACAGTTCTGTTCGTCACATTAAATACAACAGCTTAGTACTTATATTCTACTAAAGGCCACACTGAAAGCTATTGCAAGTTAGATTTCAGCTTATTTCTTGTAATGTTGCATTTATATCCTGCTTCCCTCCAGATAGCTTATGCAGCCTTCCCTCTTCCCACTTCCACCTTGCAGCAGGCCTGTGGAGTGTGATTAGGCTCAGGCCACCCAAATAAATGCCGTGGTGGAGTGAAAGTTTGAATCCAGGAAAGTGACCTTATGGGTTTATGGCTCTACTTGGTAGTGAAGTCAGCACTAAGAACCTGGACAAGTGGATGAGACATGTGGCATTGATACAGTGCAGCAGTGGCATTTTATTTTATGAAGGTCTGCCACTGCTTGGTACTTTTTTAAGCCATGAACTATGCTGGGATCCATTTTCTGAATTTGAACCGAGTCAGTGAAGGACTATAATCCTGTTAGACACCTACGCTCTGAATATGTATATACAAACACAGGAGGTAGACTGAACAGTAGTGGACTACGTTCTTCATTGGAAGAGGGATGTTGGACTTGCTAGAGAGAACTCTAGATATGTTGAAAACCCAAAACAGATTGCTGTAGTGGCTTTCAAGTACAGTGGCACCTTGCAAGACGATGACCCCGCAAAACAACGAATCTGCATGACGACGAGGTTTTGCGATCACCATTGTGCTTTGCAAAACAGTGTTTCCTATGGGGGAATTTCGCTATATGACGTTTTGGTCCGTGCTTTGGAAGACACTTTTTTTCGGGACCAATGCTTAGCAAGAGGACAATTCTATCAGCTGATCGGCGGCTTCACAAAATGGCTTCCCTAGGGTGTTTTCGGCACCAATGCTTCGGAAGACAGTGATTTAAAATGGCTTCCCTATGGGCGATCTTCACACAACGACTATTATTTTCCCTATTGGAATGCATTAAACGGGTTTCAATGCATTCCAGTGGGGAAACGCTTTTCGCAAGACGATGATTTTGCTAAACAGCAATTTCAATGGAACACATTATCATCGTCTTGCGGGCACCACTGTACTGGAATTCAGCATGCAATATCTCCATTTTAAGCAGCCATGGAGTAGCATTTCCCAAGTATTCTTGGGCACATGATATTTAAAAAGATCAATCATTCTGTAAAGAAAATGTAAGTTAAATACCGTATTTGCTGGCATACAAGACGACTTTTTGGGCCCAAAAAACATGCCTCCAAGTGGGGGGGGCGTCTTGTACGCCGGGTGTGGGGCCGCGCTGGCTGGGGAGGAAGGCAGGCAGGCAGTCGGTCTGGATGGAGGGAGGGAAGCACAGCCTGCCATGCCTGAGCGGCCAGAGCCCGCCGCTGGGCTGCCCGCTGCCCCGCGCCGCTGAGCCAGCTACGCGCTCGCTCACCCGCCACCTGCCCGTTTCCCTTTTCCTCCTCCTCCTCCTCCTCAGCCTCTTGCCTTCTTCCTCTCCCTCTCGCTGCTGAGCCAGCGCGCTCGCTCGCCTGCCACCCGCCCGTTTCCCCTCTTCGTCCTCCTCCTGTTGGGGGGCCGTCTTATATGGCCGGTCGCCTTGTGCGCCGGCAAATACGGTAGCTCATATTCATGGGTATGCAGAAATTAAGGGAGTTATATGACTTTGTGGATTCTAAGATTATTATGCCCCAGATGGAAAAGGTCTGAAGGCAGCCTAACAGCACCTTTAAAAAATGAAAGATGCTTTAAAAGCGAGTCTAAACACTTTCATCTTTTCCCCTCAGGTTTTCCTCAGCACACGATTGCATCTTTGACCGATCAGGATGCAAAGCCATCTTTTAGCATGGCGTAAGTAAGATGTGGGCTGTGTTAGGCATTTAATGAAGCAGTTTAACAGGGCAGCCAGTAATTTATTTGAAATCTTTCCTTCAGTAACTCAGGGACATACAAGGCAGAGATAGAAATGAAAACTGATGTGAATATTTTAAAACTAATCTATACTGTAGAATAATTCTTCCTGACATCTCTTAAAATGGTGGGTTTTAAATTTGTTTAACCCAAACCAAGTATGTTAATTATGAAAAGATAAATGTTAGAAAAACAATTTAGCAGAAACTTAATAAGAGTGAGCTGTGGGAACATAGTTTCTATAAGGGCCTTTCCAGACATTTTTATTGCACAATCAGCATATACTTGGAAGATTGGAAATGATGTAGATATGTTTCGATGAGACTATTTTTTCAATGGGTAATTTCATTGGGTAATTTTGGTAGACAGTGGGAATGCTGTAGACGTAAGTTACAGGAAGCCAGATTTTGGTTGAGTATCAGGAAAAAGGTCCTGACTGTTGGAGCAGTATGATAGTAGAACCAGTAACCTTGGGAGGTGGTGAAATTCTGTTAAACTCTTTTTCTAATCATCTGTCAGGTATGCTTTGATGTGGATTCCTGCACTGAGCAGGGCATTGGACTTGGTGGTTTTACAGGCCACTTCCAACTCCATTATTCTGTGATTCTAAGAGTATGTATTTTTCCCAGCGATTTTCAGCATCTTGCTGCTGGGAGTATAATTCAGAAAGTTTCAGTGCAATAATTCAGAAAGTTTCAGTGCAATAATTTCCCACAAAAATATGCTGTTCTTTATAGGCACCTGGAAAACAGCAGTGATCCAGGTCTTACATTGGGAGGTTATTTCTGCCCCCAGTGTAGAGCCAAATATTGTGAGCTGCCTGTGGAATGCAAAGTTTGTGGTAAGTAGCAGTGCACTATAATTGTGCTTATATTTGTCTGTTAGAATGGGAAGGAATGAAAGGAGCTAAAAGCTTTTAATTGCAGGATCAAAAAAAAAAGTAAATCACATGACTTGATTCTTGCAAAACTCTCTGCTTATGTTTCCAGGTTGATCTTTTTATGAATACATTAATCTTTGTTAACTAGGGCAGAGGTTTAAAATAGCAGTATAGTGATAATAAGTGAGCCCTATTTTTAGGTGCATATTTTTGAATTGTTCTTGAAGGATCCTTTATAAATATTCTGCTGTTTTTTGGTAGGTCTTACACTAGTATCAGCTCCCCATCTGGCTCGATCTTACCATCACCTTTTTCCTTTGGATGCCTTTGAGGAAATTCCTCTGGAACAATATACAGGAGAACGGTAGGCAACCAATGTCTAGGATGAGAAATCTTTAATGCCAGAAGTTTTGTTTTTCAGAGAGTGGTTTGAACTTCACTACCACTATGCAGCTAGTTCATTGCCTGATCTACTGCGATGAACATTACGTAAATGATCATTATAGTAACCACCACCTTTAAAAAATCAGTATATCCTTTTATTAAAGCAATTACTTCTTTCTGTGTATTAGAGTAAAGGTGGAGGTGGTCACCATATTTACATAATACAATCCATACACATTTGGAGACTACTTTTCACAAAGCCCAGAATTCCTCCCTGAAAACACTTTGTAGTGCAGCAGGAAGAAGAACAGAGGAGGTGAGAGCAGGGGTCAGGCACCAGTAGGGTGTCTTTTCTGGCAGAAATGCTGTGTCAGTAGCATTAGGGGTGGGGTCATCCCTTTGGTTCCAGCAGCCACCCATATAGCCTGAAAATCTGTTCTGGAAGGCTAGGAGACCCTCTGGAGCCAGTTTTCAAGCAGCATAGAAGGCTACAGAGAAGGGAGGAGAGAGGGAGAAGGTAATGTTGTGTTAGTGGCCAGGTGCTAGCATGACACTTTATTTGAACCACTAATTTATCAGGAAATAATATGCATCATATACAGATTACATGCCTCTAATCTTAATTGCTTTGTTGTACAGTGCTTAAAGCAGTTGAACCATACTTCTAATAATTAATGAAATAACATGAGGATGTGCAAAGTAAAGGGGAATATAAGGCATGGATTATCAGTTCTCCTGATAAATTTTGTAAACTTCTCTTTAAACAGCTGTTGTCAAGGATGCCAAGGAGAAATCAGAGATCAACATGTAAGTCTTCAACATATAGCCTATATATTCCCTTAGGTTCATTTCCTTTTCATCCCTATATTCTTTAGCAAATCATCTCTGTCACTCTTGTTCTGCTGAGATAAGAAAGTCTATACAAAAGGTACTCAGATATGGCCACCCAGTTTGGCAATTAGAAGATTTGATAATTAGCCTTCCTTTGTTTTCCTACTTCTGATCTGGCCAGGAGTAAGAAATGCTGAGTGATTGAACAGGAGAGAGACAGATAGGAAAAATGTAGACAAGCCAGCTACAGAGCTCCTGCGTTTGTCTGCCAGATTCTGACCTATAATTTTTGTTTCCTTGGTGGAACTGTCTAAAGCAGTGGTCCCCAACCTTGGGCCTACCGATGTTCTTGGGCTTCAACTCCCAAAAATCCTGGCCAGCAGAGGGGAAGGCTTATGGGAGTTGTAGTCCAAGAACATCTGGATGCCCTAGGTTGGGGACCACTGCTCTAAAGGAAGGAACCTGAAGTAAGAGACACCTGCTGCCACATCATCCTTCATTTCTCTTTTCAAATCAACCCTCCTGGCTGCTGCAAAGATGCAGCCTGGATAAATGGGTTGTGGCTTGAAGACAATGCCAAGATCTAGAGAAAAAGAGGCCAAAGTCTCCTTCCAGAGGTTCCCCACCACTGGACTACCTGTGTCAATCAGATTGTAAAATACTTGACTGTTTTAATAAGGAATTTGATTTGATCTTGGATTTCTGTGCGTTGTGGGTGGAGCACATTTATTTTAAATTCCAACATTAAATAAAATGTCTTTATCTAAACAATTTGATAATCATCTTGTTTTAATGTTCTGTTTTAACTCATGCAGCTCGTTTTCTACTAAATTTACATGTTAGTCTATTAACTATGGGTTGATGAACAAGCCCACAAATAAATTTTTATAGGTCAGCATCCTGTTGGAGTAAAGTAGATGCAGAATAGTCTGTCCTGTGCACAATTCCTCTTTTAATTCTGCTGATGCAAGGGGAAATCCACTAATTTCTTGGGCAAGCATAAAGCCCCAATGTTGGCAACGGTGTGACTTACAGCTTGCATTGATTGTAAGCCAAAAATAGCTGGAGCAAATCACAGCATTGTAAATGTGGAACTTGGACAGCCCATCTTTATACATATAATATAGGAGATCCTCTTCAAGCACATACCCTCAAAATCTTATCCCTTCTAATACTAGATAATCTTAAAAATACAAATCAAGCAGATACTGGGTGAAACTTGGATTTATTAAGCCTTTTTGAAAGTTCTTCATCGGGGTGAAGCAGTAATCCTATTAAGTTATACTTTCTTTTCTTATGTAACCTTAACATTTCAAATCTGTTTCCCCAGGTCTATATCTGTAAAACCTGCCAGAGTGTTTTTTGTGTTGAATGTGATATTTTTACTCATGAAACTCTCCACTGCTGCCCAGGCTGCATTCACAAACATCCTGCACCTTCCTGTGTTTGATGTCATCTATTTTTGATCAGTGCATTTTGTTAAATTCCTTCATATGGAGAGAGTAGCCACATCAGCTGCTCTGTGAAATAGGTGGAAGATGGGGAAGAGTACCTACTTGTATGCTCATGTAAATAAGATTTTCATACCCATTTCCTAATATTTATATGTGTACACAGTGACTTGTGTCTGTAATATGTTTTTGAAAGTATTTGAAATTGCTGTTTTATATTTCTAAATATAAATGACTTAAACTGAGTATATGTTTGGAAATTATGGGTCTTGTTTTCATATATATGAAGTAGTTTGATCTTTGTTTGTGTATTTAGGTTAAGCAGCTAATGGAAGACACAAAATAACCCAGTGAACAGTGTGCTCCAGTTTTTCTGCACAATTTTACAGAGCACGGCTTCTTCTATGGCCGTGCTTCACAAGACAAATATTTTTCGCACTGCTTCACAAGACAAATGTTTTTCGCAAGAACGATGCCTCGCAAGACGAATTAATTCAAACCACTCTCTGAAAAACAAAACTTCTGGCATTAAGCCACTTTTCATTCCCATAGGAATGCATTGCAGTGCATTCCTGTGGGAAGCCACTTTTCACAAGATGAAAATTATGCAAGACAGCGCTACTCGGAGAACGAATTACATTCATCTTGCGAGGCACCACTGTATCTCACTTTGATGCTTTGGAACCTTTGTTCAAACCAATATGAAATACTGTGGGACAACACATATTGAAGGCCATACTGGAGATGTACTTCAAAGGATGTGTCTTCTATTTCCTTGTGCAAGCAAATGTTAGAAACATCCTTGTTTTCAGACAGAATCTTCCAAAGAGTTTCAGAACAGACTAGAATAAATAGTTTGAAGGCAATGAGGGTCAAGCAGGAGGCCAGAGGAAATAAAAATTCTGGTGAAGGGTGAGAACCAAATCTTCTTCAGATCTGTTTTCAGCATTGATTTTTAATCAAGGATAATTGTGATAGTTACTGATACTAGAGAAGAATAAGATTGTTTTTTAAAATAATTAAATAGCATTCTAGTTTTAAATTAATTTCTCCATCTGCAAATTGTCACTGAGAGCTCTGAGAATGTCCCAGAAAAAGATATATATTAATCTCCCTCAACCGCTAGTAGAAGGCAAATAGCAACCATTTGCCATTATATCACACAAAGCAAAAATAAGATTTTTGTCCTTTCCTTTTTGCCTTTCATCTATTCAGTTTCTTAAATTAGGAAATTCAATTGATCCCACTTTCTCTTTCGCCTTCCTGCAAGTGAAAGAATTTTCAGCTTTATTGCTGGAAAGGCACATGGATCATTTCTAAAGCAACTTGCTGGGTGACAATCTGTAAACAGGGAGTCCTAAAGAAAAACTATTATTTTCCAGTGTTGCAGTATCTGTGTATTCTCAGACTGTAACTTAAGTTTTCATCATCAGCTCCACTCTAAGTAATATTTGTGCAGGCAATTTTTTTTTGGTGGGGGGAGACTAATTTAAATCCTTGAATCTAGTTGCCTGCAGCACAATTGTGCCAAGTGAGCAGTTTCCTGATTATACTGTGCATAATAAATATTAAAACTACAGTAAGAATTAGGAAAAGAAATCTATGTTCTTTCCCTCTACTGTTTTGTTATGTTACCAACGATGATTTTGTTTTGGGTTTTTTTTACTGACAGTATCTTACATCTCATTTTGAGTTGAATTCATTACTGGGTCACAGCCCACCACAGTACTGTATTCATACCTACATATTCCCTGCCTTGCCTTTTTTCCTGCTAGCTTGTTATTTTGTACCCTGAAGCCTCAGCACTGCGAGATGATCCCCAAGGACAATGCATATACTGTTTATCTCATGTTAATGTCACAAAGGTTGACAGAGCTTCCTTTGGCAACAGCAGTGGAGTTTTTCTTCCAGTGCAAAAGGAAAATGCAGCACTGGCTGCAGTCAGAATTTGGCCTATGGGGGTGGGGCAAGTAAAGCCTCCCCTCCTCTCCTCGGTCTGGGATTGTTGTCTGTTCTTACACCTTGCTTGCTGCTTATGCCATTCCAATTGAAATAAGGGTTATAAAAATACTTTGCAAGCAGATGCTTGCTTAGGCCACTTCAACTTAGCCAAGCAAAAAGGACAGAGAAACGTGATAACAGTTCGCACTCATATTGCACATTTTGGCAATGAAGGCAGAGCTCTCCTAATCATGCAGAATTTCAAACTACCAGTTAGTTACCCACTCATTTAACATGTAAAATAATGGGGGGGGGGCTTAGGTTTTTTCCCCCTGCAGGACACTGGCTAAGCAGGTTGGCTGGGCCAATTGTTTGGACATGCCAACATTCAACCAGGTTAAAACCAGCTTTCGAATCATTCATCTCACTATTTCTGGAGCTGCTTGCAAGCTTTTTCTGGGCCCCACCGCTCTTCGTGAGGTATATAATCTGAGTGAGAGAGACTGGTTGAGACACCCCGAGGGTACCACTTCTATGGGGCAGGAATTCCCATCCACTGGCAGCACAAAAAGCTTCTGAAATCTGCCTGGTTTTTACTAATTTGGGCCATGTATGGATGTGTAAGGAATTTCAAAAGCCCAAGATTTCTCCATAAATCACCATTTGCCCAGCTGTATTTTTGTGTAACTGATGACTTTTCACCATTTAAAAATTTGTCAGTCCAACACAAGCGGCAACTGTAATTGCTCACTAGAATTTATCATAGTACAGTATAATAATGAACTGCCACTAGGAGGGATTGCGTGCATAAGAAATAAAGCTAAGCACTTTCCCCAAGATCTTTGTGTGCAGATTTTCTTCAAGTGGTGTAATTCCCTTACAAACTTATCTATCTATGCACCTTGACAGCCCCTGGACTGCCCCTTCCTTACTGTCTTCTTATTTAGCTGCAATTTCCATTCTGGCTAGAGGGAAAGTGAGGAGTCTTCTGGCCAACACATGATGCTTTCAACCACTTTGATGGCAAATACATGCAGCTAGTGCTTCCCGAAAAGAAACCATCTGCATATTGGGATCATCTTCAGTCCTGCTAGTAATCTAATGGTGCTTCCTGAGGGGAAGGATCAGCCAACAGGGTGCTGTTGATCCCCAGAGACAACCGTGTTCAGTCCTCCTGTTGTTCAGGGAGGCGACTTCTGTGCCCCCACCCCCACCCCATACTGGAATGTGAGAGTAAGGTAACTTTACTTTTCAGTCTTAAAAGTGTTAATATGCAAATACAGTTATACCATGCCAACTGACTATTGCTTAGGTTTTCACATAAATCATGTATCAGTCCTTTATACTCGCCATTAGATATGTTCCTATGGATTAAATCTGCGTCTGTTACTTGTTACGGGAAATAAGTTCCTTCCTTCTCCACTGGTTACCTACAGAGATATCCATATGATGAAATGAGATCCTATTCAAGCAAGCTATACAGAGAGAAGTGAGTCAGGTTTTGGATTTGAACTCACCTTTCCCCAGAGATGTGTTGACAGTCCTATACAGTGGGGTCTCGACTTAAGAACGGCTTGAGTTAAGAACATTTTGACTTAAGAACCGCTCTCATAGGAAAATATTGACTTGACTTACATACTTAGATTTGAGTTAAAAACTGAAAAAAAACGTGGGAGGCAGGGAAAGTGCAAAATGTGCAAGCTATACAGAGAGAAGTGAGTCAGGTGTTGGATTTGAACTCGCCTTTCCCCAGAGACGTGTTGACTGTCCTATACATCTAGGGCAGTACACACCATTTAGAAGAACACAAGTTTTGAATTGCATATAGAACCAAAATAAGGAATCACACTTTAAAAAAATATTTTATTTTTAAACTACTAGGAATAGGGTAGAGAATACAAAAGGTAAAAGGAAGTGGAAGGGATGGGAAAAGGGTTTTAAGAATAGGAGAGCACAGAATATACAAACATCCAATCTATTCATATTAGTTATACAATCATCCAATCTATTAATTTTCAATAAAGAATCAACTTTCTGCTTTTTTTAACTGTTTGGTTACCCTCTATCAGCTTACATTTATGTTTTAGTTAAAATCTAAGTTATTCCAATACTATCAGGCAACCAAGACCAATTGTAAAATACATCCCCTCTTTCAATTTCCTTCTATCTTGGACATACATTCAGCACACCTGAAAAAGTGCCCATTTCTATCACTTTCCATATTTTCTCAGTACACTTCTCGTTTCTGTGACTCTGTTTTCTTCCAGTTTTTGGAAGATAGGGATAGATCCAGGACAGTAATCCGATTTTTAACATCACATTTTCTGACTGTTGTAGCTAAATAGCTCGCAGGGTAACTCTTAACCCCATCTATGTTACCTGGCACCGCACTCAATAAAAGCAGTTCTGGAGTTAGCACAGTTTCCTTTAACTGTTGTTTGATACCTGATGATTCCTCTTTCATCAAATCTTCCATCTGGCTGAGACTCTCATTTACCTGCTGAAATCCTGTTATTAATATCATTTGCATGGTAACCTGCCATTCTTTATCTGGCAGGAACCAGACTTTCAACACCCTTCTGTATGTGCAGTTCCCATCCCAACAGAGAATGTGCATACAATGGCTGCCACTGCATTACTATGTCAGCTCTGTATTGCAACAGACTAAAAGGGCTGTCCTTAGCCCTCATAAACCAAGAGCTAAGGGAGGCAATGTTTTATAATTAGATTACTTTGTAAACTGCAAAAAATTAAACAGAAAATTCAGTTCGAAAAAAATTATTTTATTGACCAATATTTCAAAGCAGCTGAGTGTTGGGATTGCTGAATGACTACACTTCTGGATCGGCATTGTCTATGTTCAGGTCGTCACAACATCCACAGCTACAAAGAGATACACATCAGTGTCAGCATCTTCACATTGTGGGGCTGTGACTGAAGATACTTGACATCTCGGAAAATCACCTTAAGGACCAGTGCTAACATACCACATGAATAGTTCAGTTAGACCAGAATATGTCTCTAGTGAAGTAAGATCCACAAGAAAAAGGCAGGCTTAGCCAGTCAGTAATCTTGCTGTCTGTGAAAATACCACTGCTGACTTGTGTATCAATAGTTCATTTTGCCATAGCTTATCCATTCAGTAATCTGATACCAGTGAAAGCTTTGCTGACCAATGTAGAGGGGACAGGAAGTTTTCTAAACCTAGATTTAAAGAGACCATATATGAAAACAAATTCACCATGGTTTATATATTAGCTTGATCCAAGACTATTTATATACATAACAATTCAAGTAAAAATCTGATGATCAGTCACTTCTCCTTCGCGTGTACTCAAAATGCATAAAACCATTTATCAGTGAAAAAACAAGGCTTCCCTCCCCTCCTTGCAACAAACTTGGGACACTATTCATTATTATTTTTCATAAGCTTACAGGAAAACACCACGTGGCATGCTCTCTCTCTCTTCTCCCTCCAAGCAATGCTAGGTCCAAAGACTCAGTTTCAGGATCAATCAATTACAGCCTGCCCTCTACTACAGTTTAAAAAATAACAAAATGCAGCACTTACAGTGTTACTTAGAGTGGGTACGCCTCCCTGAGGCAGCTTCCATTCGGCTCTGCTTTAAACCCTGTGCAATAGAGGATACAGAAAGGACTGTAACTTCAGGCCAACTTGTTTTGCAGCCTTTTATGCTACTAGACACCAAAATCAAGGTTATAGTGAAACCTAGCCATTCATATTTCTGAGGGTAATAGCAGCAATGAGAAATACCACATATTTGCTTATCACAGAAAACATCAGTTGGGACTCCCTACAGTTAAAGCTGAAAAGAAAACACAGTGTCAACTTTCTCTAGGCTCCAAATGTGAAAAGATGCCAGCTACAGTGCTTAATATTTTGTTAAGAACGATCCGAATGAGATTAATTTCAGCCTTAGCTCTGTTGTTTCTTTTCCTGAATCCACAAATTATGAAACAGTATTTTGCCACAAATGGCAAATTAATTTGATTTTTAAATTTAGATTGGCCAAAATCCTCTTATGTACTTATGCCGGTGTAATGCAAAGACTATAATAAAGGGAGACAAATTGCTTCAAGTCACATTATCAAATGCTCAGACTATTTAAGCAGTGGAATTAGTGGGTCAGACAAGCAACATTTCTGTAAAGTGTGGGTAGGCAGGCAGGGATGTGTATCTTACCAGATAGTAGCCTGTATGATAACCACTCATATACCAGGCTATCAACATACTTCCCAATGCTTCATCATCATCAGGAGAATCTTGACTAAGAAGTGGAGGCGGTGGTGGTATCAACTAGGAAAATAAAAAAACACACAACTAAACTGTATTGGCTAACTTTTTTCCTCAGAAAATTCAGAAACAAATTGAAGTTATAAGAACCAATATGAAGATATTCACGTATTAGTTAACTATTCATAACTTCCAAAAATTCTCAAAGAAATGAATTCCTGTCATAAGATTATGCAATCTATAATGCGGTAATTTACTCCAGAGCTGACAAAGTTATCTCAGCCATCACTATAAATTTTTAAAACAATTTATAATATAAAACTCGCTACACTACAGGCATACAAATTGTAGAATATTCAATAGTGCAAGCTGACCTACAATCTCAAATGATACAATATGGGTTGTCAACATACTTGTCTGTGTCAGTGACAGCATACTTTGTGTTACCACACTGTTTATTATCACTCACCAGTGGTCCTGGTGGAAATGGTGGAGGCCAGCCTAAGAAAGGTGGAGGTCCACTGAACTTCATTCCAGTCTACATGGGCATAGTTTAAAATGCAGTAAGAAAATGTTTTAATGCACTAACAATGCGTAAGTTGAAAATGCAAAATGTATTCAACAGAACCCTCACTAAAAATGTGTACCTTGGAGTAATCAATAAATACAGTATATACCACAATGAAGGCTTACCCTGCCAAAACCCAGTACTGGAGGTGGTGGTGGTGGAGGAGGAAAGTGGGAATTCCATTGTGCTGTTTTTTTAGGATTGTGTTTGCTACCAGGTGACTGGAAGGAGAGGTCACTTTCATCTGTTGAATATAGAGTCTCATTTTCATTCTAGAAAAACAATCGTAGTCAGGAATATGCAACAGATATTTCTGAAGTTACATCTACAACACACAACAGAGAAAATCTCAAACTCTTCTTGATGAGACATGCAAAAACAACTGCCCTCCTTCTAAAGGTAACTAGAGATCTTATCAATTGACTATAAAATCTTGTTTCCCAGAGCTTTTTATGATCCCTCCCATGTTATTGAAATTCATAATCAATATTTGCTGTTGATACCTGTCCTGCTCTTCTATTCTTCCTTTCCTTTATTTTAAAAAATACCACATTAAAAACACACACATGCTAGCCAGAATACTGTTGGTTGATTGCTGCCTGTATTTGCTGCATGCCAGTCACATGAATTTATGCACAACAAGTGGGTACTTGTTAACTAGTGACAATTAACCACTGTGATTTATGCCAATGCATCTAATACCGGCATAGCTAACCAGTGGGATTCTGGAACAAAGATCCCATCAAGCAAATAAACAGGGTTCAAGAATATTCTTACGAAGCTGAATTAGTAACCTGCTGTTGATTGACTTACATGCAGAAGGCACAAGATGAAATTCAACTTCCGAAGAAATAACTAGAATTCCAAACTGCATTAAAGCATTGTATGCTCAATTCTACTATAATGCGATGCATTTCCTATAACCAAGGTTAGGATTTAACACAGGGTTGTCCGGAAAATAAAAGTTTGAAGGAGGGAAAATAATTGAAAATCACTCAAGTAAAGATGTAAGAAACAAAATAATAGGTGAAATGCTATTGTTTGGTGTACTAAGTTGGACTAGAGTAGGCCCATTAAATCTGTGGGGAATTTGGTGAGTCAACTCCTTCACTAGTTCTTCATTCAAATAGGCCTATGCTAAAGCCGTAACTAAGTAGGACCATTTGAATCAACAGAACATAGGAAGGGTTGACTCAACAAATCCCCATTGATCAACAACAATGCAACTTACTACACTAAGCAATGAGATTTCAGCCATTGTTTTGATTATTTAATTTGTTTTACTGATTATTTTAATTGTTTTATTATTTAAGTTGATGTTATTTCCTAATATTTTCAGGCTGGTCTGAGCCCAAAAAAGGAACTAAATGATGATTGTACTAATTTCTTCTAAGTTTCATTTCTTACAGGCTACTAGCTCTGCGAGATCTAGACACACATTTTAGTCACCCTCACCTCAGCAGTGCTTCTCTCTTCGTTTGTTCCCTCGTCATCCACTGGTGGTAGAAGATCGGAAAGGTTTTGCTCTTCACTATTTCCATACCCAGTATAGACAACTACACAAGTCCCCTTCTTTCGGTTAATTGAGGTAACAGTTGCTTGGTACACATTACCATCTTCGGACCAGACTGCACTGCATGCGTCATTAACTCTCCACTGCAATAGAAGAAAAAAGTTCTCCTTCACCCCAATAGCTAAATATTATTTCCTCCTGCACAAATGCATGTAATACGGCATGGTTTATCCTGCAGACATTCTGAGCAGTCAACATATTACTGGATGAGGCACAGGCTGGTATAGTGAAAGCCAATGAACTGAAGGTGAGCTTTGACCCCCCCCCCCAAAAAAAGAGGTATTGGCTAAAATCCTGCTGCACTGCCATGCAAACAGAAAACAATCTAACTGGCAATTGGAGAGTTCTTGCTGGGATTCTGGGGCTCATGGAGGCCCACTGTTTTAGTGCATGCTCTAGAATCCCAGCCAGGACTAGGTAAATTGCAAGCTAGCACCCACCAAATGCTATTTGCCTTTTGCATGTGCAACAAATCAACCAGATTTTAACCACAATTTTTAATGTTCTGTTTAAGGAGTTGGTGTTCTATCTTTCTGTGTAGAGTTATCCCCCTCCTAGTTCTTGTAGCAGTCAGCTACCAAGATTTAAGCTGTTATGCTAGTGTACAAATCTAGATTTTAAACATTAGCGTAACAGCCAGCTTAAATCTTTTTACTAGTATCTTTTACTAGTCCTGGCAGGTTTGTCAGGTATATTTCTGAAAAAGGAGTACAGCCAAGGTGACTCAAATTTCAAGGGGACTAGCCTTGAAACATGTGCAAGCTTCATCTAACATATAGGCTGCCAGATGTTTAACTAATATTGCCAGGGTTCTTCAAATCATTCAAATTTTAAAAGAACTGTGCTATTTTTATTTGCTTTCAGTCACAATTCAAGCTGCTCTACCTGAAACATTTATTTTTTTAAAGCAGGAAGTAATATAAAGCTTTTGAATGGCCAATTGTGTCCGCTGAGACCATTTAATGTCCAAACACTATGGAGTTTGTATGTTTGAGTGTCTTGGTAAACCACTATGAGTTGGGGGTAGGCAGAAATAACCCCTGTATCCACCAAAGCTGTCCATTTCAGTTTTAAACAAATAAAATGAAATAAATTGCTAACTCCCTCAAAATTGTTTAGCTATTTATATCACATCACTTTTTAATGTGTGAATCAGTTTTAAGTCTACATTCTTTTATCATTTCTCTTTAAAACAGTTCTTGAAATAGTCAGTTTGAAAATAGTAGATCCAAGATGGGTAGCTCTCCAGACGTTTCTGCAAACATCTAATTAAAACTGGCCCATCTCAAGAACTAGGAACTTAACCAATAACACAGCAGAGATCTCTATAAATACTAGTCTTTTTAGCGTCCTCTAATATTTAATACAAAGCAGGAATTTGATGACTGATTATTTTAGCTTCTGTTCTTTCATTTTATGTCCGAAAGCAACTCTAGTTTTGAAAGGACAATAAACCTCAATATCACAAGTGAAATGAAAAAAGTGATCTGAAAGAAAATATTCCAACATTACCTGCTTTTGTGGTGCAGAATTACATTTTTTTCTACTCTTGTTCTTTTTATTATTTTTTCTTTTTGTCCCAGCATTTTGCTCAGTTTTATCTACAGGTTCTGAACAGTCCCCATTCTTCAAAGCGTTCTATTAGAGAAAACAGAGGTATTAACAAGTTGGACTTAAGATTTTTAACCACCTTCACTTCTTGAATCCTGTTACCACCATCGCTTTATATTTTATTACTATTATTAACAAATGTGCAAGTATTGCATTTGTATAATTTGAAATAAAGATGCATTGCATCCAGTTTGATAAACCAGAAAGGGGCAGCGTTGTGCATGCAGCTGCACACCTTATAGTGAACCTTGTCTACTACTTAAGGATGGACCCTACAACACGCATTTCAAAAAGTTTTGAGGAATAAATACTGATTTTATAAAGTCTTTCCCTTCCTTCTAAATGTTTTATCAGATGTGTTAGTCTTTTCATGTGCAAACTGTTCTTCATTTACTTAGGAATGTTTGGTACTTCCAATATTTTACTTACTATCAATCTCTAATATAGAAGAAATAAAAATCCTTCCTTTTTATCAGAGGATTGCACAATTACAATGTAACGATACTTTCCTACAATTGAATCTTTAGATATCTTAATAAAAAAGCAATCTAACCAAAGGCTTGGTTATTGAGGTTATTAATTTGATTCCTGGCATAACGGGTATAGGAATACTTTTCCAAAAATTCTTGACAAGTCTAGCAGTTACGAGGTAGATAGATACTTTGTTAGGCAATACCAAACAGTACATTCCATTGAGAGCAAAAAGTTTATTTCTGAGTACAGATGCACAGAATTCTACTGTGAATTCATTGGCAGCATTACAGAGTTGATACTATTTTGAGAAAATTGCTCTTAGGCCATGTGGACATAAAGAAATCAGATGAAGCATGAAGTCAAATTAAACAGATTATGATTTAAGGGGCATATTTTAATTGATATATCTCAGGGCCTTGCTCGGCCAACGTTAAATATAAAAAGGAAAATGCCTTTGACCATATCCACAGTGTTCTTCCTACAATGGCCAACTTTTCGTGGCATCTACAAGGCCAGGTAGATGAAAACTTCATCAAGTGAAGTCTTCCTTGTTGCTTTATTTCTGTTCTAGGAAAAAGTATACCTGTGGATCTTTTAACAGCTGATTATCTTGTGATGCTCTATTTAGTATAGAGCCCAAACAACCAGCCCTCTTTTTTTTCTTCTAACCCCCTTAATTTTGGCATTCTATCCAAGGGTAAGAAATATAGTGAACTCCACACATTTGGGCTCACATTTTTGTACTGTTTAGGACCATTCGGTTTCCTAGCGGGTGCTTTACCTTGAAGGATGCGACTGCTTTATCGTAAGCTTTTATGAGTGCTGTATCATCCCATATATCAGAATCGTCGCTCTGTGGAGAAGGAAGAGAATGAAACACAGGTTTCTTCTTTTCTTTTTAAAGTTAAAACCAATGGGCGCTAGAGCCAGTAACCAATGCTATGGATTACACGGGCTTCTTCGGTACCTCAATAACGTTTACTTTAGAATACAGATTAAGGTCAGGAGAGACCCAAACCACTAACGAAGCTGCCCCCAGGCTGGGAATGGCACATGGAATTAATTGATTTACGCTAATTTTTAACGGTAAACTCTGACTACAGCTACTTCGACAACTTTTGCAGAGTTCCGCCAGTTTCGGGCACAGTTCGGCCCGTATCCAGTGCGGACGATTCGAGGAGAAACAAACAGAGCAAGGGGCCACGCGACTCCTCGCATCATCCGCAGCTTCACGGAAGACCCGAACCTCCTCACACCGGAGACCCACCATCCCTCGGGTCTTCCCCGGCGTTCTGGTCCGAGCGGTTCGGCTACGGCTCCGAACAAAGGACTCGGGAGCTCCGGCAACGGGAGAACCCGCTCCCGGGAAGGGGAAAACGGCCGCGTTTCGCCAGCCCTCCCGGCACCGATCCCCACGGCGGGGAAGAAAGGCCCGACTCAGGCGTACCTGTCCGGTCCCGCGCCTGAAGAGCACCCCTTCCTCGTCGCCGCGGGAAGCCATGAGGGCCGCCGGGCGAAAGCCAGGAACTGAAGGAGGCGGAAGGAAGGAAGGAAGGAAGGAAGGAAGGGGAGGGCCCCGCGGGACCCGTCTGAGGCTCACCGCCGCTCCCGGATCAGCCGAGGCCGGACAGGGAGGGGCGCCCGGCGGCGGCGGCTTCCGCCAGCGCGCCCGCCTTCTCGGCGCGTCCTTGGCGAGGTTTCCTTACCGCCCCCTATCGGCGCGGCGGTCCTTCCCTTGCTCTGCTCTGACGTGGCTTCTTCCTCGCCCTTTCTCGGGGCAGAGTCTGGAATGCCCTCGGCTCCCTACGCTTGGAGTCTCTCTCCCGCCTTCCTTCCCTCCCCCCTTTCGTCCTTCTTCGTTCATGTTCACCGCTCTGTATGCGTCACAAATTTATTTTTTGCGAACACTACGTGGCAAAAATGAAGACAAGGTTAAAGGGAGAAGGGTCTTGCTGGGTCAGAGCGCCCGTGCAAGCCGGCCGGCCCCTTGCTTCTTCACCGGGCGAGATGGCCCTCGACGGGGAGGCGCCGCCACTCGCCCGCCCTCCTGCCGCAGGCGCCGGTATTCAGAGACTGTCCTCCCTGGCCCCAAAGCGTGTCTCGTCCTCGCCGCCTGCCCCAGGCACTGGTTGACCTACTACTACTCCCATTATTTCTCACACCTGTGGGCAGGTTGGCTGGGGCTGATGGGAATGGGAGTGCGTCAACAGCTGGAGGGTCCCGGATTCCCCAGCTGGTTTAGGTAGTTGCCGTCTCTTAGTTTCATCGGCTGTTCTATAGGAATGCTGGCAAAACCGGCTGCTCGGGAAAACTGCAGATGGCCGCTTTCAAGCTACACCGATCGATTGCGACGTGGCTTTTATCTCAAGTTTTACACGTTTTGAGCAAAGAATGAACCATTAGTGCCGACTGACATTTCCCCTCATTTCAGTGGTCGAATAGACCAATAGGCGGGATATAAATCAAATAAATAAATTCAGTGCGGAAACATCGCCATTCTTGTAGTTTATTCTGTGTCTGGTCCTATGATAAATACATCTTTACAATATTCCTTCACAAAGGCTTTTTTTTAACTACTGTTGGCAAAAACTGATGAAAGAATCCTTGCAGCACGGTTGCTTTTTATTAGTGGGACCCACAGCCAGCCATTTTAAGGGTCCCTCTGCCTCTGCTCTACACTCAATATGCAAGTTTGGAAAACTCAGCAGTAGCCAGAGGATTGGAAAAGATCAGTCTACATCCCAATCCCAAAGAAAGGCAGTGCCAAAGAATGCTCCAACTACCGTACAATTGCACTCATTTCACACACTAGCAAGGTTATGCTCAAAATCCTACAAAGTGGGCTTCAGCAGTATGTGGACCAAGAACTCCCAGAAGTACAAGCTGGATTTTGAAGGGACAGAGGAGCTAGAGACAAAATTGCTAACATGCACTGGATTACGGAGAAAGCCAGAGTTCCAGAAAAACATATACTTCTGCATCATTGACTAAGCAAAAGCCTTTTGACTGTGTGGACCACAGCAAACTACAAGTTCTTAAAGAAATGGGAGTGCCTGACCATCTTATCTCCTGAGAAACCTATACGTGGGACAGGAAGCAACTGGATATGGAACAACTGATTGGTTCAAAATTGGGAAAGGAGTACGACAAAGCTGTACATTGTCTCCCTGCTTATTTAATTTATATGCAGAATACATCTTGTGAAAGGCTGGACTGGAGAAATCCCAA